ATTAGAGTTGTAAAATTAAAAGTCTAGTTAGCATCACATGGTGAGCTAATAATTAGTAGAACCGCATCCGACTTTGATCTGCCACATGTTGGGGAGGTGGGACTGAAATCTGGTCCGCCCCTTGTTGGAAGTTGGGAACCGGGTGACTTGAGGAGGTCATTGAGGAGAGTAACTCCATTCATATTGATGAGCTAATGAAATGTGAGCTAATAAAATCAGAGAGCTGGTTTGAAGGATTCGAGAGAACATGAAATAAAGTCGAAGAGTTACAAATTAGAAGAGTTTTTTTTTTCCTTATGTATAAGTGTGAGTCATGAATGCAAAACTTACTTGTTGCAATTTGGGGTGATGCAGGTAGAAATTGTTTGCTCAGAATGAAGCAGAAAGTCGTTGTACGTTCATTGAAGAAAGTGGCCAAAAAGTTGCCAAGCAAAGCAAGTGGAGAAGATGTTGCTGAGGTGCCTTCTGTCGAGCACTGGCTTTGTGCTCCTTATTTTGGAGTCGGGGACAGATTCTGGCAACAATTGGAGGATAAGAGGACTGTTAATCCATCTCAAGTTTTGTTGGGGGTACTCGAGGCAGAAGAATGAGCAGAGGGGATGATAGCTCCAGAATCTATTATGCGGTTACACATAGAGCGTGACCTCTACCCATATGCATTCCCAACTCATGACAGCTATGCTTTTACCAAGAATGGTGGGGGTTTTGATACTTGGGCTGAGGAAGTGCTGACTAATCCTTCTTCTAAAGAGGTTTTAAAGAATGCAGGTGTGTATGGTGCTATAGTGGCAAGTGTGGGGTTGAATGTGAGAAGCGAGCCATCATGGTTGAGTGTGGCTTTTTCCCATTGGAGTTCTAGTTCTCACACCTTTGTTACTCGGTGGGGGCAATTGACACCTACATTGGAGGATGTCTGCGCATTAACTAGTTTGCCTATACTTGGTGTTGCAGATCCACTTGCTAATACATCTGTTCCTAGTCATCTAAAGATTGTATCGATTTTGAAAGACTCAATTTCAGAGGTAGGATTCTTATTGAGCGGCTACGATAAAGGAGGAGTGTATCGTGGGCCGCAGCGTCGGGAGCATTGTAAGAATACCTTTGGGAGATGGCTGCGATATTGGTTTCGAGATTTGAATCCATCTCCGGCAGAAGGAACTGAGATAGAAGAAAATGGGGTAAATGGGCCTGGATATGAAAAGTATAAGCATAGTTCCACCTACCTCGTTGCTTTCCTTGCGTATTGGTTGAGTTGGTATATCTTGGAGGGAGCACCCAAGGATGGAGTAGACCCGTCTGTGTTTGATATTGCTGTTTATCTTGTGAGTGGTCTTTCGGTTGCACTTAGGCCATTGTTTTTGGGGACTCTATACAGACGGCTTGATATGTATCAGGTTGGAGCAGAGAAGTCGAAGGGTCGGTATGATGTTATTAGTTTTGTATCGACTTCCTTCTTGCAGATGTTCTTGTATGAACGGTTTCCCAGGCTTGCTCCTGAGCCGACAGATTTTGAACCTGGAGAGGGGCGAGAGCGTCGAGCTACAAGGTGGTACGGGACACGCATTCGGGGGTCGTTGATGGATATTTTTGATGATGAGAGTGAGTTTATAGCTCGTCCGTACATTCCTCCTGTCATCGGGGTGGTTCCATTTCGGATGTATGACTCGAGAGATTCTGAGGTGGCTTTTGATGGTCGACTGAGTAATGCCGAGGCAATGACGGCTTGTAGCTTCTTGTCATGTTCCTTGCCTTATTTTATAAGAGGAGCTTATGGCTCTACATCCTATAATCCGGCGAGAGTGGCTCGCCAATTTGGATTTGATCAGGGGGTCCCTAGTCCTAGCGTAGTTCTTCCTGTGGCTGATACTTTTGAGTAGTTTTTCTGTCATACTCATCTTCCGAGACTCCAGAAGTATGGCAAGTTTATTCGGACGAGGGCTGATCGTTTAAGTGGGGTAATAGTTGGTTGGTGACATTATTGGAGGGAGACTTTTGCCACCTTTCAAAAGTTTCTCGGGGTGATATTGGGGACTTAGAGTTTATATGCATTCCATCGGATAACGAACTGTGTCAACCGCGCGTGAAAGGTCGGACTGAATTGGCTAGAGGCGAGTTGTCTTGATTTGCACGCTTAGAGTTACTCTCTGATGTGTTGACTCAGGAGAGGGTGGTTGGTACAAACGGTTTTCGAGGGGAAGTTGGTATATCCAAACGACGCCCGAGCCAGCCTAGGAAGGAGCCTTCCCAGAGAATGAAGGTTAGGCTTTTTTTTTTTTTTTTTGTGATTTTCTTTCTTGTTGTGTTTCCTTTATGTGCTTCTAAGTTGGGCGCTTCGTTTCTTCAGGTACAAAGGTCAGCTATCCATCATGATGTTTTTGTGGCACTTAGGGTGGCGGGCGTGCCTTCTGAGGAGGAGAACTCTGCTGATGATTTACTTCCGCGTCGGCGGTTGCGGAAACAAAGTAATGCTAAAGGTTTTAGTGATTCCGAAAGTGAGAGTGACGATGGGGATAGCTCAGAGGCCAATTTGAATGCGAGAGATGATGATGTTGTTAAAGTTACATTCGAGCGGGCAGATGTTCCTCTTGATAGGATGAGATCTGAGGTTGTTGCGCCATGTGGTGAAAGTAGAGTGACTTTTGCACCTCCTCTATTGCAGTTAGGGCATCCGGTGGCACAGTCAGTTAGGCTTGGGGAGTCCGATGTTGATGCCCCGACTGGTCAGTTGCCTTTGTCTGATGTTCAGTCTCGCCTGCCTCCTGGTGGAGTCCCTACCATATCTTTATTTAGTGGGAGTAGTGGTTTTTCATCAGTTGATGCTCGTCTTAGTGTGCCTTCAGTTGTGGCTTCAGTTGGTGCTCATACTAGCCTTCATTTGGTGGATGTTCAGCCTGGTACTTTGCCTACTTCGTTGGGAGTTGCTACTAGTCTGCCACTTGGTAAGAGTGGTAGTTATGTCCATGATGATACTATTGCTCCCAACGGTCAGGCGAGTTTACCTTTCTTGGATGGCGAGTTTACCATGACCCGTCTTGATGGTGGTTGCGTATCCTTGGCAGGGGCTGCTGGCAAGGAGCAAGTCCTTGATCCCAAGGTACTGTTTGCTAGCGTGCGAGATGAATGTTTTCCTAGACTGAGCTTTATTTTTTATCATAGACCCAGCACTTTCATGCGTTTGGAGGCTATGTTCTTACGACGCTATTTGTTAGAGGCGTTCTGTGATATGCTCAGTGGGTTTTATGGTCTTACTCCGGAGACTTCTATTGATACGTTTTAGTCATTTCAGGCTGCTATGGCTGAGTTTCAGCGGCATGAGTTTGAGGTGAGCTGGCTGAGAGAGAGTTTGTCTTGTATGGAGGTGCAGGTAAAGAATCGCCATCTCAAGTTTGAGCTAGCGGAAATGGACAGGGCTTTGATGAAATCGGCGTCTTCTAGGGAGAAGGCTGTGGTAGAGTTAGAGCGGGCGACCAAGGCATTGGCAGATGTGGACTTGGCGATATCGAGTTTGAGAGAGAGGAGAGCCGTGGTAAAGGTTCAGCTTATTAGTGTGGAAGATGAGGCTTTTGACTTAGATAGCCAGATAGGTCCAAGTTAGACAAGTTAAAGAATTTCTTGTACTGGTTGAGCTAAAACCCCAAGTACTGTATATATTTTTGTTTTCTCTCTCAATCTTTTTTTTTTTTTGATTGATGATTTATTAATAGTTACACAAAACGTAATGAGAATAGAGATATCAAATGATTGTTTATTTAACATAAGCATGAGCTGATGTTTTACATTGCCATTACATCAGTAACAGTAAATTTCTCAGGGGTGATTCTTCACTCTTATCCTAAGGGAAATAGGCCTTTAGCCATTTGGCATTGATAGGGCTCAAAAGAGCTTGCGAGTTTGGTTCAGAAATTCTATAATAACCATTCTCGTTGGCCTCTCTTACTACGTAAGGTCCTTGCCACTTAGGAGTGAACTTGTGGGTAGAGGTTCCTCTCATGACATGAGGTGCAGCACGAAGTACCAAGTCACCTTCTTGGAATTGTTTGGGGCGCACCAAGGTATCATAGGCTCGAGCTATGCGACTTTGGTAAACTTTGAGGTTAGCCAGGGCCTTGTCCCTTCTTTCATCAAGGATCTCCAATTCATAGGATCTGGAGTCTGGAGTAACTTCACTTCGGAGGGCCATGCGAGCTGAGGGTATGGCAATTTCCACTGGAAGAATTGCTTCCGTGCCGTATACCAATGAGAATGGGGTCATTTGAGTCGGCCGTCTTTTGGATGTTCTGTAAGCCCAGAGCGCCACTGGGAGTATGTGTGCCCAATCCCTTTGATAATCCTTGAGAGTCCGTGAAAGGATTCTAAAGAGTGTTTTGTTGGTCGTTTCTGTTTGCCCATTCCCTTGGGGATAGTAAGGAGTTGATTTATGGTGTGTGATGTCATAGGAGACAAGGAGTTGTCCGACTTGGAGGTTGACAGAAGGGGTCCCATTGTCTGAAAGAATTACTCTAGGTATACCGAAACGACATATGATGAATTCTCGGATGAAGTTGGAGACAGCAGCTCCTGTTGCCTTTTTTAGAGGGATGGCTTCTACCCATTTAGTATAGGTCTCTATAGCCACTACAATCCATATGTGTCCCCTTGATGGCGGAGAGATGGGGCCAATGATGTCCATAGCCCACGTGTGGAAAGGCCATGGTGGGCTCGAACTATGTAAATCAGTGGCGGGTGCATGAATGAGATTTCCATGGAGTTGGCAAGGTTTGCAGCGTTTGGCGTACATTTTGGCATCTGCCTCCATGGTAGGCCAATAATACCCTAAATGTAGAAGATGTTGAAATAGTTTCGCTCCACCTTGGTGCTCTGATCCATGAGTAAGTTCCAAAACTTTATGGATTTCAGCTCCTGATAAGCAACGTAATGGCTTTCCATCGAAGCCATGCCTGAAAAGTTGCTCTCCTTGCAAAAAGAATTTCGGAGCTCGCTTCTTAATTGTTGCGGCTGCAGAGCGTTCTGGTGGCAATGATTCTTCTTTGAGGTAATCTATGTATACCTAACGCCAGTCGAAGGTGATTTCTGTGAAGTTGCATTCAGCCTTTGGAGGGAATTCTTGACATTTGGTGCACTTTCCTTGAAGGTCATTCGCTTCCTTGGCCATGGTAGGCCAATAATATCCTTGTCGTTGTAGCCTCCTGTAGAGGCTTACATCTCCTGTCCCACATGAGCGGTTGTGCACCCCTTCTAATTTGGACTTGGCTTCGATAAGGTCAATGCATCGTGCCAATAAACCACCAGGCCCTCTATAGTAGAGGACTCCTTGATAAATTGTGAAGTGTTTGGTCTCACTCAAAGGTAGTTTACCTGAGGGGGCACGGAGCTCATCGATGATTGGGGCTCTCCAATCGGCGGGTTCTTTTTCAGGGAAAATAGTTGTTACTGAACGTGGCACGGAGCGTTTCAGGACTTCTATCTTGGTTGATTCTTCTGAGAATTCCACCTTAGAGGCCAATGCGTCCGGGTGTCGATTGTTGGAGCGAGGAGCGTGTTCTATACTTACTGTGTCGAATTTGTCTGTCAACCTTTGGATGATGGTTCTGTATGAAGCCAAAGGGGGTTCTTTGATAGCATAGTCTCCATTGGTCTGCTTAACCATCAGATTAGATTTTCCTTTGATACATAGGAGACTTACTCCTAGGTGGAGTGCTGCCATAAGCCCCAATATCAAGGCTTCGTATTCCACCTCGTTGTTAGAGCATTTAAAATCCAGTTTATATGCCAAATTGACTTCAGTTTGATTTGGGGAAACAAGGACTATTCCAGCTCCTCCCCCTTTAGAGGTGGACGATCCATCGAAACTCAAACTCCATTCTCCTTCGGTGTTTACTTCAGCCGCTTGGAACTCATCTCCTGGCAATTCATCCGAGGGCGGCTCATGTTTTCTACTGAGGAAGTGAGCCAAGAGGTCAGCGAGCGCTTGACTCTTGATGACCTTGGGAGCTTTGCAAGTGATGTCATATTCCGCTAAAGATAGGAGCCAACGGGCTGGCCTGCCAGAGAGCGCTGGTCTAGTGAGGAGAAATCGAATAGGATCGCTTCTGGTCATGAGATGGATGTGGTAAGAAAGAAGGTAATGGCAGAGCTTTTTGGCGGCAAACACTAGGGCGAGGCAGTGCCGTTCAATGCCGGAATATCGGATCTCAGCCCCTTGGATGACTCTGCTTATGTAGTACACGGGACGTTCAAATCCGTCAATTTCCTGGGCGAGCAGAGCTCTGACTGATTTCGATGTGGAAGTGATGTAGAGGAGTAAGGGCCTTGCCGGCTGAGGATGAGTCATGGAGAGAAGGGATATTAAAGCTGACTTCACTCCTTCAAATGCTTGTTGGTGTTCCTTATTCCAAATGAACCTGACATCCTTTTTTAGTAAAGAATTGAAGGGTTATGTTATTTCGGCCATAGTTGGGATAAACCGTCTCAAGTAAGACGCCCGACCAAGGAAGGTTCTCAACTCATCTAGATTGGTTGGTCGTGGCATATTTTTGATGGCGGCGACCTTTGCTGGGTCGGGGTCTATCCCATGGCGATGAACGATACAGCCAAGGAACTTGCCAGCAGTGACTCCGAATGCGCATTTAAGCGGGTTCATTATGAGTCTGTATTTCTTACAACGTTCAAATACTCTTTGGAGGTCTTTGAGGTGACTAGTCTCCTCTTTGGATTTTACTACCAAATCATCAATGTAACATTCCAAGGACTTGTGCAACATATCGTGAAAAATGGCTGTCATAGCTCTCTGGTATGTTGCTCCCATGTTTTTTAACCCAAAAGGCATTACAGTATAGAAAAAGTTACCTATAGGAGTGCGAAATGCTGTCTTTGGGGCATCCTCTGGAGCCATCTTAATCTGGTTGTAACCGCTGAAACCATCCATGAACGAGAACATATGGTGCCCCATCACTGAATCGATCAAGGTATCTATGTTTGGGAGTGGGAACTCATCTTTGGGGCAAGATTTGTTTAGATCTCTGAAATCAACGCACACTCAAATTTGACCATTCTTTTTGATAACTGGGACGATACTAGAAAGCCAGGTGGGATGTTGGATGGGTTTGATAAACCCTGCTCCAAGCAGCTTCACCACTTCGTCCTTGATGTTGAGCTCCACCTCGGGCTTATAAAATCTGACCCCTTGCTTGACTGGGCGAGCCAGGGGGATGACGTTCAAACGGTGCATGGTAACATCTTTGTCTAATCCTGGCATTTCTTCATATGTCCATACGAAAACGTCTGAATACTTCTTGATCAACTTGATGAGGGGCCCCCTTTGTTCTGCTGGAAGATCTTTGCAAATGAAGATAGGATGCCTGGGTTCCCCTTCAGGGGCCATGTTGATTTCTTCCAGTTCTTGCTTTTGGGGTCGAGGGCCGTCCTGTAAACACTCTGGAGCAGGTCGAACATCTTGTAACCCATCTTGCTTTAAGATTGCAACTGAGTTGGCGGGGACTTGGTTAGGAGATGAAACGGTTGCTTGGCGAGGGGTTTAACTTTTGAGCCTTCGGCTCCATCCAAATGAGTTATCGCAGGACAATAGGATCTGTCAAAGGGTTTATCTGTTACTGGAAAAGCCACGACTTTTTTTCTCCTTCTACTCTTCTTGTCTCTACTTTTTTTGTTCTTTGCCATTGGCGGGCATTGGGCCAGTGCAGACAAGGTGTAGCAACAGTGATCTTCTCCACTTAGTTCACGATGGGCGATTGCTACGTCATCCAGCTAGGGGTCGGCATAGGTAACGTTCGCCAACCCCTCGCACCGTCACAAACGGTATACCACTTTGCCATCTTTTGTTTGAAACCTGGTGACTTTAGTGAGCTTTCTTGAAGGCTCTGATTTGGTGAATGTCTTTCTGCGAGGTGGTGATGAATCTCCTTCAGAGAGGTCATCCCAGTTGGGTATAGGAGTTCCTCGAAGTGGCAGGGGAGGTTCATCTTCATCGACATGATTGTAAAATACCGCATCTGCCATGTGAGCTTCATCTTCTCGAAAAGGCTTTTGAGAGCCAGCTATGGCTACTACCTCATTGTTGTAGACTGCTTTGACACATTGATGGTATGTGGAGGGGATCGTAGCATATCTATAAAGCCAAGTTCTCCCTAAGAAAGCCTGATAGGTCGTTTCTGCTTCTATAACATGGAACTTAGTAGTGGAACGAATAGGTCCTACTGCTAAGTCTAACTGGACATGACCTATGGTTTTAATTTTTTGGCTTCCAAAACCGGTGATGGAGATGGGTTGTTTGACTAAGTGCTTTGGTGGGATCCCGGCTGCTTGGAAAGTAGAATAAGGCATTACGTTGAGTGAAGCTCCTCCATCTATGAATCCTCTTTGAAACTCCATCCCATTTATGAACACTGTGACGTAGAGGGGACGATTATGTGGAAATAGTACTTGCTTGTTGGCCTCGGTAAAGGTTATCGCCAAGGAGTTATCCCGAAATATTTTCCTTACTGACCCGCTTACACTCATGCATGTTTCACCATTCTGCTCTGCAAGTCTTAAAAAGACCTTGGTGGCTTCAATGCGTGTTGCTTCAGACAGGCCGAATTGGTCGAAGAACCACTTGAACTTTGTCGATTTCTTAAGCGCTATCACACGCCTAGTCTCAAAGTCTGGGCAAGTGGAAGGTGGGAGTTCAGAGAGCTCGCACACCATTGGCTTTTCCATCTCATCATAATGCGAAAGCATCATGACCGTCTTGCCATTATCCTTGTGGCGCGGGAGAGGATCTTTCAAGACATCTTCTGTTTGGCGGGGTAGCTCCAAAACATCGTCAGACATCATTTTTCAAACTAGGGATCTGAGTGCCCAACATTCTGTAGTAGGATGTTTAATGGAACGATGGTATATGCAATAGTCGGCTCGCGCTTGATCCTTTTTGGTGATAGGTTGCCTTGGCTCGGGGAGGTGAACTTTTCCATCTTCTACCCAGGCATTGAGGAGTGCTTGTGCCTCGTTCACTGAGATAGGTAATGGCGGGGGAATTTGATCAAACTTTCTCTTTTTTGCCTGCGGGTCTCCTTTTCCTCCAGAGGATCCTTTGGCTGCATATACGGCGTGGTTGCGTCGGTTAGGCCTCCATGAGGAAGGTTGAGGTGCCGTTGGTCGCCATGAGTGGGGTTGTGGTGCTGTCATTCATGCCCCTGATCTTACTATTTCACTTATGTTTCGGGCCGCAGCACATAAAGCGGAAAAGTCAGGGAAGTGGTGGTTGACCAACTGGAGTTTATAAGTCTTGAGCATCCCTTCAATGCATAATGACACCAGCTGGTGTTCTTCCATCGGGTCTTGTATATCTACTGTTTTTTCTCTGAAACGGCGGACGTAAACGAGAATGTCCTCTCCAAGTCGTTGTGTTTCCCTCACAAGATGAAGGGTGGTTAACCTTTCTTCAACGTAGAAGAACTTGATGTAAAACTTTTTTACCAAGTCTTCCCATGAAGAAATAGAACTAGTAGCAAGGTTAGCATACCACGAGAATGCTCGACCTGTGAGGGGTTTAGAGAATTCTCTCATGCAAAAGTTTGGGTCTTCTCGGTGAGCTCCAAGGGCATCAAGAAAGCATGAAACATACTCTCTGGCATTCCCTTTTCGTTCGTCGAAACGGACAAATTTGGGTACTGTATATCCCACCGGATATGGAAGACTTGCGATGTGAATAGGGTAAGGGGGACGGAGGCCCAATTTTGGGGAGGCAGGAATGTGACCTTTGTTCATCTGAAGTAAGCTATTTATGTGCTCTTTTACGACCTCCAATGTTAATGGCTGGGAAAAGTTCTGATTTACTGGAAGAGCTGGAGAGCTAGTCGAAGCCACTGCAGTGGGAGCTCCACTAATGGACCCAACTTGTGGTGGGGGTGTCTGGCTGGGAGCTAATGGAGGGAGCGAGGGGGTTGTTTGTCCTTCCGCTTGGGTTCGCAAGTCGTTTTACGTAGCGAGGTTGGTTTCTGAGCCATTCTGGGCTAATGGCGGAGCGCCATTTTGAGATGATGTAGGAGGGTTAGATGATGATGGGAGCGTAGGTGCCCTTTGTAAGGCTAACAGGGCGTCCATTAAGAGTTGTTGGTTCTGTTGAAGGGAGGTGACGCTCTCAATCAATACACGTAGCTGATTTGCTATAACCGGTTGGGAGGATTGTTCTTCCGGAGAGCCGCCGAAGTTGTGTTCCGAGGTCTCCGCTAAGGTCTCCCTACCGCCACCTTGGGATGTCGCTACTCCAGTTCCAATGTTCTTTTTGGGTGCCATGTGAAGCGAGCACCACTCTTCCCCAGCAGAGTATAATGTGGGTGAGAGGTGTGGTTAGAGGTAGTCCGGGAAGATGGCGGGCACTTTAATGGCCTGAGATCACCGGAGGTGGAGAGGAGGAGGTCAAGGCAAGCTTGGAGAAGGAGAGGTTGGCAGTGATAGACCTTGAATATTAATGTAAAGTGAGAGAGGGTGTTTAAGTATGAAACTTGGTTGTATTGTTGTTGTTGTGTCTCGCTGCATATACGATACGTTATATAGGCCGCAGGAGTATTGGAGCCCAAGCAAACTGTTGGACAGGTGGCTTATTCTCCTCAACTCTGCCAGAAGTGATATAAGCCCTTCTGCTGTCTGTGGCTTGACGGCAGGCGGAGAGCAACGTTTCATGGCAGGCAGAAAATAACGTTTCGTATATGCATCGGATGACATGAACATAAGGTCATTGTTGCCTCTTCTCCAAGCCTAGTCGAGATGGAGTTGTCTTAGCAAGAAGACAAACATCTCGACGATCCCATGACCTTAGCCGCCAGTCCAGTATCCTCTGATGATCCCGAGCAGTAGTGCCTAGGTCCTGCTCCCAACCTAGGCATCCAAGTAGATAAATGGGCCAGGGCCCACTTTAGTGTTTAAGAGAGCCAAGGGCTCGCTTCCAAGTGACCAAGTAGGAGAATGAGCCGCGGGCTTATCTCGATGTTTAAGAGAGGGGCTCGTTTCTGAGCGACCAAGTAGGAGGTTGGGCCGCAGGCCTATCTCAATGTTTAGGAGAGCCATTGTTTATCAATCCAAGTCCAAGTGAGCCGGGAGCTGATTGTATTGTTGTTTGGCCTTGAAGCGAGGTATGAAGGACCATGGGCCCTGGGGCCATGGTGCTGCCTGTTGCAGGGCTCTTCATATCTAGATATATTTGGGCTTGTATATATGCTCCCGCTTAGGCTAAGCATATAGTCTTGGCTGCCTTGGCACATGACGCCCGTAGGGCTCGCCATGTAGTAAACATACGACATGCCCGACGTGGTGCCTTATTGGTCTGCCACGTGG